TAATAATGCCATTCTTCATGTCGGAGCATTCCTGTTGCGTGGACAATGCGCTGTCCTTTTCGTTTGGCCGCCTGCAGCCGTTTCTGCAGTTCAGAAATGACAAACGAACTCGCCAAATCTGCAACATTAGTCGCGCTGCGGCGCTCGACTTATCTCTGCATTGCGCGCACTGGCTGTAATGCCGTCGTCCTATCGGTATACTCCACGGAGAGAGGAAAAGGTTTCCTTCCTCTGTGGTATACTCGCTCTGACGCGAGTTTGCCACCACCGGAACTCAGTCCCGCATTGTCGCTTTGACAAGCTGCAACCGCCTGATCCGATTACTGGGTGTATCTTTCGCAGTGTTTCGAAAGGGGTTCGAGAAAAAAAATAAAAAAGTGGTACCATACGCAATGAGGAAGCAATGTTGTTTTAGCTTCACGTGAAAACCGGGGAGGGGTGTGTATAGAATGCAGTATGCGCCGTTGTTTTTCCCTCAAAAAAAAAAAAAATCTTTACTGCTTCGCTCGCCACCGGTCCACTAACACACCACGACTTTGTAGATATGCTTCGATAGGTGGCGTTTGAAATAGATGTCTTTACCGCAGACATGCACGTTTGTGTCTTTGGTTTTAGACAAGAAACTTGAGTGCATTGGTTAACTTCGTCTGTGATTCTCGCATATATGTGACGGGACGTCGCAACGACATGGCACGCCGATTAGCCGAGGCACTAAGGTGCTTCGTCCCTAAAACGTCAAAGTAGTGGGGTGTGGTTGCCCAAGCTCTGATTACGGTATATACGCTATATGCGACGCTGATTGGGATTTACACCGCAGGCGCGCGGCGTTAAAGTAAGAAACGCGCGAGCTAGACGTGTGACACTTATTTGCGTATGACTTATTTGCGTATGACACTTATTTGCGTATGACAAAGGAAACACGTCCATGGGTGCAATTATTTATCTTCCTGCCCCTCTGTTTTCCTTTTTCTTCATCACAGCAAGCGTTTGGGAACGTGTGGGTGAGAAAAATGGCGACGCAACTTTTTTTTTTTCTATGTAAACCCTATCAGTTATTTCATACCTGCCAAGTCTCGCGGATTGTCCGGGAGACTCCCGGATTTCGACCTGTTTTCTTCCGTTTGTATACGGTTGTCGTGAAAATCTCCCGGAAATTAAAAGTTCCGTGCGTGTCTGCTGGCCGCATTGACAAAAGTGCGGGTCACAATACACTCCACGGGCTTTTTGCGAACCCTTCGCTTTTTATTATAAACGAATTTTATAGAAGGCGCTCATCTAAATGTACAGTATAGAATCTCAGGTGAATGCGAAACCGCGACAGATACGAATTCGTTAAGTTCCCCGAGCCAAATTCGACTGTGTCCATTTGGGCCAATACGGGAATGTTCCGAACAATCTTACTAATCGCGGCGGACGATATGAACTTCAGTAGCGACACCGTCGAACGAAGGCCGAGAGCAGCTTGCTCAAAGCTTAGGAAGTGTGCGAGCGCACGCAAGGGTCTTCTGTATACAGTGCGTTCGTGTATGGCGACGACGTTACTGACAGAACACGGAAAGTGTATACGCGCGTCCAACGCTAGACCAGTGAGAGCAACGCCGCTTTCCCCAAATTTCGTGGACGAAAACTGCGGCAGATGCGATCGTAGATAAAGCATAAATTGCGACGTAGTTTTAAAGGCACCCGCGCAGCCAGCGCACGCGGATTGAAAACGGAACATAAGCGCGGTTGAGGCGACGCGATAGCGATCTACGAGCTCCGAGGGGGCGCGGCCAGCGCACGCAGCGGTAGATTAAAGGCAGTAAAGACGTGAAAGAAAAAAAAAAAAAGGGCTCGAAGCGTTTTGGCGTTTCATGTCCGATGAATCTAGTAGCGAGCAAAAACATTGACGCACTCTTTCGCGGCAGTCAACTGCGCCCTCCCTTCCTGTTCACGCGTGTCCCGGGAAGACATTACCCGAGTTCCTTTGAGGGAAAGAGATTTTGCCGGTTGTTTTGATGACCCGAAATTTCGGGAGTATTTGCGCTCGCCCCCTCAGAGACTCTCACCTTAGCGGGAAAAACCCCACCCTCCTGTGTTCGGCCACTCCAAGCCATTACAAAACCAACGCCCATGTTCGCGCTTACGATTGGAACCCCCCCCCCCCCTCTTTTTGGTTTTGTTTTCCGCAATCGATGGTATTTAGTTTTTTTTTGTTTTTTGTGCCCAAAATTTCCCGGATTCAGAATCCTTCAACTTGGAAGGTATGTTCATTTTGTTCAGCGCACTGTTGGTAACTTATTGTAAAAAGTATGAGCAGCAAAAAAAAAAAAAAAAGTAGAAGCGGACAGGACTGACGTTTAACTTGCAATGTAAATGTACTAACAGGCAGCGACGGAAAAGAATTGAATGACAGGCCGCGAACGCTCAACTTACAGCAGTTGAGTAAGTTGAGCCCAGCTGTCATTTCATTTCCGTTCCCGCCATTTTTTTTTTTTTTTTGCAATCCATGTTGCTGCTAACCCTTCTGGTAACGGCGCAACAATCGCTGTAATCGCCCGTCTTTGAAGCGAAACAGCGCAGTTTTGTGGAACGAAAACAGAGATAACAGCGCAGCGAGCTCAGAAACGGTCGGCAGAGTGGTGACGAGAGCGAATGCACTGCACGTCACAGCGCTGCTATTGCACGAAAAAAAGGAGCTCTAGATAAAAAAAAAAAAGCTTTAACGGCTTGCCACGTTGTCCCAGCCTTTGTTTGTTCCGGTGACCCGCGCGGTCGCAGCTGCGGCAATCGTGTCTCGACTGCCGCGAAGCACACGAAAAGGCCAACACATTCCCATCCGTCAGCGTGACGGCATCAGTCGCTGACGCGCGCATGTCCACCACGTGTGGCTGCGGCCGAAAAGACGCGCAGTTCAGGCGTTCAGTAGGCAGGCGAGTCAGCGACGTATTTGAATAGCAACTGAGAGACGAGTCTAGGGTCGGCGCTTTGAAGGGGGGTGGTACGGGATAAAGTATTGAGAAATTTTTAGTATAGGAAGGCTGCCCCCTCCCCTTTGAATTTTCCCCACCGGCCCCCCTTACGTTCCCCCCCCCCCCCCCCCATGGACTAACTTACTTGCGGTGGGTGCCCCCCCCCCCCCCCCCAGTGTACAGTGTACTGTACCCAGTAAAAAACTCTTAGTGCCACCCCTGCAAGAGTTAAATGTGAAACGAATGCCTTTCCTTTTATCCTGAAGCATCATTATTAATTCAATTATTAAAACGAAAGCCGACGCTAACAACGAATGTGTAAAAGAAAGAGAGAGAGAGACTGCAAGGATCGAAATGCCACAATTTTCGCAGTTTGTGACGTCCTGAATTAAAGGTTAGTTAAAGGTTGATTCGCACATCTTAGTATTAAGTGTGCGCATTTGTATAAAAACACGCTTTCTTGATGAATGAAGTCAAGCACCTTTTTTTTTCTGTATCAACACAGCTAATCGCTATAAAATGCTTTGAAAGCTAATAGCCTGTAGAGAGGCAATGAGTCATTTTCAAAACAGAAGCGAAGGTTCAGTAAGTTGGGAAAGTGCAAATAACCTATTACGTTATTTTAATGCAATAAGGAAAAAGAAAAAGACTTCACTTTAAATTACTGATGTCAAACTGAATGTTAGCAAAAATTTCAAAAAGTGCATATGACAGTTGATTAATAGGAATAATGTCGAAATGCTGAAGTGTTATAATCATACGAAATATGCTGATGTAATTTGCTCCCATGATGTCTTCGTCATCACTATCTATCGACATGTTACGTCGAGTTAGACTACACTGGTGTTCCAACTCAACTACCTAAATGCTGCTGTGGAGAGTGACTACGACAAATATGATATTTAACTTCGCTAACATCGACTGTACCACAGGCCTGCTTTGTGAAACGCACTACTCTTCGAGGTAGTAAAAACTTGCTGACATACATTGTCACATGTGCATACATACAACACAATTTTATGACATTTCCCCATGCAAGTTTTACTTGTAACGGCAGTTTTCACCAATACAGAATACAGTACCAAAATCTTCAGACTATTCACTACACGACTTAATGACAATTATGTCCATATTCATTGTAGTTGTGAAGCTTTGTAGACATGAAAAATGAATTCGTTGAAGGGAAACGTAAACTGAACACATTACTCGTTATAGAAAATACCAGGCGATGGTATTGTCTGGTTATACGCAGCAGTAACAGTGCTAGCAGTGAGATATTGAATGTTTATCGGGTAACACGACAAATGATTTTGTATTGTGTGAACATGTTCTTGGTCGAAACAATATTAAACAAGCACGTTGCAGATCTATCTTGAAATGTTTGCATTGCACCTGTTTGTGTTCTCTTCTGTGTCCCTGTGTGCCTGTGCAAACATTTCAAGATGTATGTGTTCCAACTAGCCCGAATTGCAGTTTTACTTCACGTTACAGATTGTGTTGCTGCCAATGCGGTGTGCCAGCAGATGAACAGAATGTGGTTGGTTATGTCTTGTGTGTTTAAACTATATGCCGTAAAGTGGTACCGCCAAGCTCATGCTTATGCATTCAGCAACCCAGCACTCCTTGAACTTGTTTTGCATGCACATGCAAATTGAGGATGGCGCAGCGAGCCGTGGGAAAGGAAATGATAGGTGCGACCCTATGGGACAAGACGAGAGTGGAATCTGTCAGGGAACGAATAGGTGCTAGGGGCATCGTAGTCGATCTCGAGAGGAAGTAATAGGCATGGGCAGGGCATGCAGCACAAAGGCAAAATAACTGCTAATCATTAGGAGAAACAGACTGGATTACAAGAGTAGGCAAGCGCACAAGGGGGATGCTGGCAGTTAAGTTACTATATAAGGGGCCTGTGAGATTAAAGAAGTTTTCAGGGATAACATCGCCTTGGCAAGCACAGGACCAGGTTGAAAATGCCCTTGCAATACAGCGAGCATAGTTAGGTCGACGATGATGACATTGTTGATGATGATGATACCCTACTTTTCGCAGGTCCTCTACGTGATGATTTGCGTGTTCCTGATGGGGGCAGCGACGAGCCAGCTCATAACCGACATTGCCAAGTACACCATTGGGCGCCTGCGGCCGCACTTCTTTGACTTGTGCCAGCCTCTTAACCTGAAGGCCCTGTGTTCGAAACCATACACCTACGTGGAAAACTTTACCTGCGGTGGCAATGCAACCGAACACCAGCTGAAGGAGCTACGGCTCTCGTTCATGTCGGGGCACTCGTCTTTCTCCGCCTACACCATGCTCTATGCAGTGGTGAGTGTTTGACAACATTTGGGATAGGTGCCGCTTGGGTGCCAAGATTTAGGGGTTGTGTGGTGTTTGTGAGATAGTGCTGTGCTTGCCAATTATTCGCAATACACTCATACCTCATTAGAACAAAGTTGCATCTTACATGAAAATAAGTTTTATATATATACGGAAATTTGTTATAGAGGTATATTCCTAACACTATATCTATTACAGGACTATTCCTTATTAACTATGTTATAACTAATATTTGTTATGTCTGGGTTCGTTATATTGAAGTTTGAGCGTTCCAACATTTTTGATTGATTGATATGTGGGGTTTAACGTCCCAAAACCACCCTATGATTATAAGAGACGCCGTAGTGGAGGGCTCCGGAAATTTCGACCTCCTGGGGTTCTTTAACGTGCACCCAAATATGACTACACGGGCCTACAACATTTCCGCCTCCATCGGAAATGCAGCCATCGCAGCCGGGATTTGATCCCGCGACCTGCGGGTCAGCAGCCGAGTACCTTAGCCACCAGACCACCGCGGCGGGGCTCCAACATTTTTTTTTTTTTTTAAGGCGAAAGGCTCAGTTGCCTCATTAAATGCATCGATTGGCCATCAGCGCCAGTGGTCTCAACACTGATGATGCAAGAAATCATCATCACGTGACGACGGCATCACAGATTGCTAAAATATGTGACGTCATCATGACCTCACTATAGTGTCGTCGCATGTCATTGTCAATTGGTCAGAGGTGGGCCAATCACAGAGGCAGTACAATGCCAGGTTAGGTGTAGAAAGCTTTCAGAGGTCAATACACTCCAACCTACTTATAAAAAAAGTTGCATCTTTCACTAAGTTTATTATATCCAAAAATTCATTATTAAGATTTATTCCTAGCACTGTATCTATTGCAAGCCTATTTTTATTTACTTCGTTGTAACTGATATTTTGTTATGTCCGGGTTCATTACATCCGGTTTGGGTGTACTATGTTTTTACGGAAAACTGACGCTGCCTCATTTCCATCTTGTTTCTCAGCTGTACATCCACGCACGACTGCCGTGGCGCAATTCCCTGGCCGTGGCAGCTCGCACGGTTGTTCAGGTGGCGCTGCTGTCACTGGCCTGGTACACGGCGCTCTCTCCGCATCTCCGACTACAAGCATCACTGGAGTGATGTGCTCGCTGGCACCGCCCAAGGCTACCTAGTTGCCATCATCGTGGTGAGTCTTGCGTCTCTCTCACCTCTTGTCTATAATGGCGTGAAGCGGGGCTGTTTGCAGGAATAAGCATGCAGAGGGAATGGACCCCGATGCATGCCGCGACCCCTTGTTGGCTTTACTACCTTTAAGCATGCAACGATAAACTGCCCAAGAGGCCCAGTTGTTCTGGTTGGTAGGTGTTACAGTACTACCTAGGAATAAAACAAACGGTAAAGAACCCCGTGATTTTATGAGAATTGTGGCACGTGGATGAAGGTGTGTGCATGAACAGGAATGGTCGCCGTAGAAAACGCATTGACAAGGCCTCTCGCCCTTGTCAAAGAATTAGATCTAGAGGCATTGCCTCTTCGAACCGTTTCTCATTATTTAAAGTCTCCACTTTCCTCGGAACTGATTCGTCGTATCAAAGCACATATAGTATGTGCGAATAAATGGCAACCAACATTACAAATAATGTTTGCCTCTTATTAAGTGTAGTTTAACACCATATTTTATGAGTGCTGCTCTGTACTTCCTCAGTGTTGTTGGTTGCTTCCTGCTCTGGCAAGTAAGATTGTTTGTGTCGTGTAATGTGGTTTCACTGAAGGTCAGTGGTTTTATTCCTGATTGTGATTGTTTATGTCTGTACAAGTGAAAACCACATGTTCCTGAACCTGACAAAAAAGTGGGTGCGTACAACAATGTAGCAAGCACTAACATGCACAAAGCATTACATAGTATATTTATCTGATTTCCCAACTTTACTGCGCATGACTGCCATTTAGGTGCTGTGTACATGTCGTGGCCGATGAAGTTTGTTTGGGTGTGCATGCCTTTTCTGCATGTTGCATGCAGTGGTCATCTAACGAAGGTTCCTGGAAGTGCAATACATGCTCGAATCAAAGTGATAAGCCAGTTCATCTCTGCTAAAATGGATACTTGGGCGAGTTGGTTCGTAATTAGGAAAGATTAAACAGCGCAAAAAAAAAATAGAACACAGAGAAAGATGCAGAGATGAATCACTGTATCTGTGTGTTGTCTTTCTTCTTGCTGTTTAATCTTTACCATTTATCTTATTGAAAATGACACAGTTTCAGTACTAGACGGTGCACTTGGCAGCAATACTACTGCACCGCATTGGGTGTAAAAGCATACTGCACAGACATAAAAAAAAATTGAAAAATTTCAAGATTTAAACTGGTACCAGCAAGGGCATAATACTTTCTCACTTTCTAATATATATGGCCAGAAATGAACAAATGAAATTAGAAACAGTGGTACTTTAAAATTATTCTGCAAGTGTGTCAAGAATAATTGAACACGGAACGCCTACAGGTCTTTGACAAATGCTTAACAAGCTCGGCACGTTTTGCCCGACTGTCATGGTGGCCAGCAGAAAGTGGCCATGTGTACTTAAGCAATTTAGCAAATCGCACTAATTCAGAGGCACTGGTAACAATGCACGTACAGCTGCTTGGCTAATTGACAAAACTTCACATACACAAATGCACTGAGAAATGCACACCAAGATGTCATTCGTGACTGGCCTCACTTAGACATGTGTGACAAGTTGCTGTGGCGGGATCCTCCAAATAACGTTGCAAAAGCATCTTTTGTTAATAGCCTCTTAAAGTTTTTTTTTGTTGTTGTTGATAGCCTCTCGGAAGTAAATACGTGGACCATCTGCTTGTCTGGGAAGCTTCTGTATGGTTAGGGAGAATCGAGTGCTGTGCTAGCACATTTGGTGCTTGAAAGGCATTTTTCGGTTTGCTGGCAATAAGTGCTGTTTTCCTTCTTTGTATTGTGTATTCTAGGGCTTTTCTTTTTTTGTCACTTCGTAGGTTAATAAAATTAATCATTACATTCTATCATCATTTGGGAAGAAGAGAAATCACTTTTGTGAATGTTGGCACGACTTGGCAACGGTTGCATTGAAGCATGGCCAACAGTGTTCCTGGTACCATACCAGGAACTTTTCCAGCTACTCACTCGCAGTTTAAGAATATTGGCTTGGCTTAGATTTCATTGTTGTAGCTTTTTGTATACATAAAAAAATTACTTTTGTTGACAATATAGAATAAGAAAAAAAAAAAACAGACGACGACGGCAGCTGACGCAGCCCATTTCACACACACATGCAGTGGGCGATGTTCTTTGGCTCCCCGCGACACCTCCATATCAAGTGGGCACCGGATATGGGGCCTTTGTCTCTGTCCCAGAAAAAGGACGACTACGGCGCAATCTGAGTTCAATGCTTTATCACTAGATATTAAATGTGCAATGCTGTGATTTGCCAGATAGTATGTATGCCTGTAAAAGGGTAATATTGATTACATGGGATAATTGCTCTAAAGGGACCCTCAAAAGAAATATGCTAGGATAAATCAGTAAATTACGCCTCTGTAATATAAGAAGAAACGTAATCTACTCTACATGAGAAGGCATCACTAAGTAAAATAAACAAGGCAGCAAAAAACAAAAACATACGAATGCGTGCCAACTTGACTTCATTCAATATTAAAACACCAGCTTGCCAGGCATTCACAGAATTTAAGGGGCCCTGCAACACTTTTCCATGTAATCATCAAATAACTTCATTAAAAGAGCTTATTGCCTCATAAATAATTTGCTGCAAATTTTTTTAAAAGTATGAAAACTACAAATGGAGTTACACGGATTTTTTGCACGTTTTAAGCACTTTGTCTCACCTTTAATTCATACTAGCGAGCATGCTTAAAGCTACGCAGGAAGCAGGATGACAAGAAGGCAACTCTTGTCACTTCTTTGTCACCTCTCACGCTTCCTTCTTCTTTTTATCCTGTTTTTTTTTGTTCGAACCCATAGTTTATTTTCTGTGTGACTGTGCATGTGTGCACAGGCACGTGGTGGCATTTTGGTGCAGCTGCAGGAACTATGCAGCTCATCGTTCTCAAACCAGCCAATGGCTGTGCACTTGGGGTTCATGGCGTGGTCATTTGGGTTGATGGCATTCATTTGCCGAAAGAAAGGAGAAAAACTTCTGGCTGACTTTAAGAATCATAAATTCCAGGCCGCATGCTGCGATGTGACGTTTGACCAGTGTGTTTTCAGGAGCCACATCAGCATTCTCTGCCCACTGAAAAAGTTTTGCAGGCCCCTTTGACAGCAGCTGCGTTGGTTCTGCTTTTTTAATTGGCAAGAATTGACCAAGTTATACTTGAAAGCTGCCAAAAAGAGTCAAATAAGAGAATTCGCTAACCTTTACTACGACGCCAACAACAGCCCAAATACAAGAAATTGCTTGAAGTCCTATACTCCAAGCTTTATGAGAACTAACAGACAGTGATGCCAAGGAAAGTATAGGGGATCTTACTAGTAGTAATTGTAATGTCAATGTGAAGAAAGAAAAGTGGATGAAAACATAACTCACCGCTGGCAGGGACCGAACCTGCAGCCTTCGCTACCAACTGCACTACCAACTGAGCTACGCACTACCAACTGAGCTAAATGCACTACCTACTGAGCTATGGCAGCGGTCAGTCCCTCCGTCCCCTAACGTTCACGCTGGCACAAAAGGCACGAAGCTTAGGACATAAAGAATTTTCAAGTTCAGCACACTGAACTTGCTGCGAAATCGATGAATGTTATTTTTGCACAAATACTGTAAAGTTCTAAGCTGATTTATCATTTCTCTTGGGTGTCCCTTCAGATTATTCATTACGTAACAGTATATTTTTGTCAATCTGTTTCTCTGCAGACAGATTCAGGTGGCATGCAATAGCGTGCTATCGCTCAGGCTCCCAAACATTTGCTTTTCTCGGAACAGGTCTTTTGCTGTCTACCACCCGCATGCAGACAAAGGGCTCCTCTCAATGGACAGTTTCAGCTGCCTGGCTCTAATGTCACAAGACATGAGCTGGCGTATATTATTAAAGGAGTTAAGCATGTTTGATGTTGTTAGGCTTGATCTAGACAAATAAAGTATTAGTTTAACAGCGAATAATTTATCGAGCACTCCTTTAAATGTTGCTGCGCATCTTATTTGGTCAACAAAATATACTTGTGAGGCTAATTGGTGATGTGTATTTTCCTTCTTAAAGCAAATTTTTCCTTCTACTTCTTTGGCATCCATTCATTGAAGTTATTCCATGCTTAGTTGACATTAAAGGGCCAGTAAACAGGCTCCGACCTTTTTTTACACCCCCCATACAAGCTCGTCAATTCGTAGATTAGACCGCAGCGATCACGTTTTCTGAATATTAGAGCGCAGCACCCTACGCAGAGCCTCTACTTCGAAAAACGATTCCCGCGCATCTTTCCTACGCCTAACCACCCCCTTTGCATGCGCAGTGGCGTCAACTCGGCGATTGGCGACGTGACGTAGCACGCAGCTCGCTGATTTATCTAAATCAGGTGTGAACAAACAGTAGTGAAGTGAACGTAAGTTCCTGTTCCCACCCACAACTACAGAACTGCCCCTCGTTTCTTGGAACTGTGGTGAAAGAACCAGCCTTGCAGTTGTCGCGTGCACGTGTACACTCCTCGCTCAACTACAGCGCCTGTGCGCACATACGAACATGCTTTTGCCCTTGACATGAGCAACACAGGTAAAAAGCGTTGCTCAGTCGTCGGCTGCAAATCGAGGGACTGGGGCACCGGGAGCCTCAGTCGCTCCACTGGGGCACCGGGTGCTGCAAATCGAGGCACCGGGTGCCTCAGGATGGGGCCCTGCGTGCTGCATGACTGAAGCGAATCAGCCATCCAGCGACGTACGTCGTGGACATGATCATTTGTGGTCTCGACACTTCGCACCTGACGCTTACACTGGTTGACTCGCGGCTGGTGCAGCAAACGGTAAACAACAACCATGCTTCGCAGCAAGCGGAAGTGCGTTACGACTGATCGAGTTCGTCGATGACATCAATCGCTGACGTGGTGTCACATTGCCGAAGTGCGTGGAGTCACGACGATGGGCTATGCCTTCCCCTTCAAGGGAGGGAGAAGGGGGGTGAGGCCGCGCAAAAATTTGAAACCAGCTTAGA